TTATTCCTGCATCTTGAAATAAAAAGAATTCTCCAAACAATTAGTGTAAAAGGAGGTTTTAAAGGAGGTGCAAAGGGAGGTTTTAATCTTTTCTTTGCCCTATCTAAATACGTATAAGGGACTGCTACAAAAAATTGATGCCAGCATTCTGTTGCAAAACGTATGGCATATATAGCTGTACTCAGTTCTCCTTTTATATAAAACCTAGGCTCCTGTTACTAGCTGTTTGGGGTAGACAGAAAATAACTAATAAAGAAGCTTAAGAAACCATCTCAGCAGCTTGGTAAAGCATTTCCACTGCTTTTGCTCATGCTTGCAGTAGATACTGACGATATTAGAACACCTGTTCCGTTTATTAGACTCATCTTCCTGTTAGTTGGTGGGAAGACTAACAATTTAGATAGAGAGAAATTTTAATTCTGTGGATGTCAAAAGAAATTGGTTCAGATTAGATTGAGAGATCCCAAGTTTTGTCCATTGAGAGCTCCACTGTTAATCTGAATGAAGATAAGGTTTTGCATGGTAACGTTTCCAGTCTTCACCAACTTTTGCTGTTTATTGAAGATGACAAAGACGTTGTATTTACTCTAACTATTAGTCCATACTGGTGGTTCAAGTTCTCTATTATAATCTCATGAATGTATGTCCATGTTGGACAAGCCTATTTTGTATCTTTAGGCCAATCAGCCCATCTCTCTTGCTTTGGCAATCGTGTGGCAAGAGAAGGAAAAGGAGGGGGAAGGTTAAATTCTAGTTCTGATTCATCACTTTTATTGAACTCAAAATCTTTTGTTTTAATGCACACTTGATTGAGCCAGCATTTACTGAAACAGTTATGGCTTGTAGGAAAAAGAGACAGTTGAAGAAAGAACAAATGAATCTAATGTAAATCAAATACTTAACGCTTTTATAGAAACTACAAAACCTTAAATGTGTATTCTTAATGGTAATTTTACAAAACTCCACTAGGTATCTTCAAATGCAGGTGTGACAGTGATTGTTTCAGTCTGGAGATGGCTTTCCTTTCACATGCTAATCATCTGTTCATGGTGATATTTCTCAGTGTAGTTGCAGTCAGTGAATTGAATAATTTATGGAATGAATTTTGTTGTAAATTTATTGTGTCACAAGCAGGTTGTAATTTCACTAACAGTACACTTAAGTTATTAAGTTAAAAAAAAAAAATTTGGTTGATAGGATAGTGCATTTGGAGGTTCTCTTGCTCCCTCCCCAGCTAGTTCTCATCTTATGTATTTTCAAACAGAGTATTTACCTATTTTTTATTCAGAATCTGATCTGGGAAAGAGAGAGAGGACATTAACATAAATGAGTTTGCTTTTGCACACTATTGTTGAATCTGGTAGTCGTAAACAAATTACAGAAGATTTTATATAGACAGAAATAGCATTAAAATGGCATAGCTCTGTTGTAGCGCTGCCTTTGTTTCGTATTTGTTTCTGAGTAATTGTCCCAGGCTTACAAGTGATGAAGCGTTGAAGTTGCAGACAAATCTGTAGAGAAACGCAAATCCTTTTGCTTCTTCCATAGCTTTGATGTTCAGATAATTGGGAGTCACTGCTAGGAAGTAGTTTCTGTCTTGCAAAGCACAGCCAGCATGGCGCACCACCAGGACCTCCTCGTTCCCAGCAGTGCATGTCTTCTCCGTGCCCAGTTTGAAGGTGTGAATGCTTGCATGCGGGGTCCCCCCTTCGGAGGAGCCTCAGCTCCACGGAGGGTCTCTGTTTAGGAGCACTTGGCTGCCTGGCCTGTCCCGTGCCCTCTGCCAGCCCACGCTTGCCTTGCCGGCCATGCCGACGGTGGCACGTGCTGCCATTTGGGGAGGGACGCGCGCTCCCGTCGCTGCTGAAGAGGATTTACCTGTACCCTGAGTTGCCCGAAGGCAACTTCACAGGCACTGGAAGGATCTAACATCATACGTTAGCAGACCAAGCAAATAACACTGGGGAGAGGCATGGTGAAGTCTACATGGTAAAAGGAAAGGGTTTGGCTGCCTTGCATTTTCAACTTTCCATTTCTTCAGGCCAACAATATGCAGTTTACATTCCCTGTGGGTTGCACTGGTATTTTGCCTTATCACTGGTAGCATGTGCATTCTTCTCTTCGTGGTGTCTTCTGGAGAAGGCTGGTAACAAATCTAAAAGTGAACAAGCATATTGTCTCACGTATCACAGCATCATCAGAGTTAAATTAGCATATAAGAAAATAATACTGTATTTAAGTGCATATACTCTAAGTAGAGTAAAACTCTATTATAAATAGTCAGTAATGAGGAGTCTTCATCAAAGTCTCTCTTCATTCCTGTGCTCTAGTTGTCTCCCAAGAATTTTGTTGTCTTTTTCTTTCTGGCTTTTCTGTGCAAGCTCTCTGCATTTCTCTCAGGATACTGAGGGTCTCGGAGGTAGCTGTCCCTGACTTCGTGCCCCTGTTCATAAGCTCCTTGTAACCTGGCTGTCTGTTTTCTGGGTGAGCTCCGGAGTCTGCCTAGGCTCTCTGGAGCCGCTTCTCCTTCCTCCAGAACATTTCTGGGGCTGGCATCTGGTCCCTCCCCTCACATCACTTGCGGATGCGGCTGTTGGAGGACACCCGAACACCCTTAAAAACTGGAGCCAGCCTTCTGGATGCCGTATTCTGTCACTTTTCTTGCTTTTTAGCTGCCTTGTCATATTACCAATTACCCCAGAAGAAGACATAAAAACAACTTCTCTTGTAAAGAAATATTGCATCTGTTCAAAGGAAAAGCATAGTCCAGACTCATTTTAGCAAACAGCTTTTCCCTTCCAAAAGGATGACTAAAAATGCAGAATTATTAAACAAAGCAGCATCTCATCTCTGATGTTCAGTTCATTCTCTCTTTC